TGTTGGAACTGAAGGATAATATGGGAGGAAAAGACATTAATACCCTTAACCATGATTCTATGAAAACGATGAAGAATTAAGAAATAAAAAACGTAAATAAAACAACAATTATCATGCAACAAAATGAGTATTATTATTTTACATTCTCATGTACTCCGTATTAATAAGCACCTAGAAAAAAAATTTCAAAGTTGTACAAAAACAAAAAGCACTTAAAATTAGAAAAGTCCTAGCAATTTTTGAGAGATGGGTGTGAACTTAACACAAAATAAATATTTTTGAATATAATTTAACACAAATAATTCAAGAGGAGAAATTAATTTCTTTATTTTTTGAAGTAGGGAAAATTTAGGTTTTTTTTTTTTTGTATCGAAGAAGCAATTTAGTTTATACTTTCTAGTCATAGGATAGGAGTACAAATTTTTTTTTTTTCATTTTCGTAGAATACTATGAATCTAGAGTAGTGGGGACCAACCAACCTTAAATAGTTATATATATACGAAGTGGGTCCTATGATATATAGTACATCCTGTTTTGAGTGCGAATTTGATGCTTTTGATCATAAGTTTGGATTTTGGAATTATGGCAAATGCCACTTTTGGTCTCTCTAATGTCAAAATTCTCCAGCCTCCAAAATGCTGCTGCCTTCTGTCGAGGCTGCAACACCTGTTTCTTGTCAACAGATCGGTAGCACGGAGAGAAAACACTTGTCCATTGTCCTTTTTCAAGATCTTTCTCTTTTTAGAAAAAAATTTCCCCATAAATTTAGGTGTTTGTATTTTATTTTTAAAACTTGACAGGTTCTCTTCCAAAGCTTCATAACGTACTCATGACATAAACCTTACTGTTACAGTTTTTAGTGTCACACATCGAACAAAATCACGAATTTTGTCAAGGTTTGAGCGCACTTGGCCTCGATCTTATTGCCCCACTCTAATTTTTAAAAAATATTATGAGAAAACATAAATTCATAACATTGGTTCACATACTACCAAAAAAAAAAAAAGAAAAAGAAAAAAGAAAAGGTTAAATACCCTTTTTGGTCCCTGTACCGAAAAAATCCCCTTTTTAGTCATTACTGTTCACAAATTCGGCCCCTTTTTAGTCCTTCCGTTAAATTTTGACTGATGTGGCAAGTTAATGACATGCTAAATCCATGTGGAAAATCCCACTTTTAATTACTGATATACCCTCATCTTCTTCTCCCGCTTCTCCTTCCTCCAGCCTTCTTTTTTTCGTTTTTTCTTTTACCTCCAAGCAAACCCAAGAGCCTGGGTTCGCAAAACCTAAAAAGCAGCCATAACGAACAAACAAAATGAACCAACTAGTGTTAATATGAAGGAGAAAAATTGAAAAAGGCTCCTGGGTGTGAACCCGCGAGGTGGGTTCCTTGCGAACCGAGCTCGTGGGTTCGCACCTCGCGAACCTAGCCTGGATACGAACGCACGAGCTGGGTTCGCGAGGAACCCAAGCTCCTGGGTGCGAACCCGCGAGCTGGGTTCCTCGGGGGTTCGCAAAGGAGAAAAAGAAAAAAAAGAAAAAGCCGGAGGGAGAGGATGGGGAAGAAAGAAGAGGGTAAATTAGTAATTAAAGAAAAAAATTTACCATGTCATCAATCTTTGAGGGCAAATCAGTAATTAAAAGTAAAAAATTTAACCATGTCATATTTTTTGCCAGATGGATTTTCCACGTAATTTAATAAAAAAAACAAAATGAGTTTTCCCGTTAATTAACCTGCCATATCAGCCAAAATTTAACAGAAGGATTAAAAAGGGGTCGGATTTGTAAACAGTAATGACCAAAAAGGGGATTTTTTCGGTACAGGGATAAAAAAAAGGCTTTTTCCTATAGTAGAGGGACCAAAAAGGGTATTTAACCATTATTGTACGTACTTTTTTTTTTGAAAGGCAAAGGTATTTATTAATTATGGAATACAGGGGGTATTCCAACCCTTTACTTACAAAAATTAGTCGATTACAAAGAAACTTTTTCACCGGCTTTTGTAAAAAAACGTCACAAACTTGAAGTTCCAAAAGTCCAGTTCATACTCTGTCTTTCTCTTTGGCTTTGATCTGTAAACATTTAACTGGATTCTCGCACCAATTTGTTAAAGAGAATCCATCCAATCTTGCAATATTTTTTGCCCAGTAAAAAGATCGAGTTTGAACTAGCTGAAAGAAGTAATTAGCCTTTGCTTCATTGTCATTGAAAATCCTGTCATTCCTACCCAGCCAGAGTGTCCATACTACTGCAAACCAAATGATGTTCCATCCTTTATCTAGTGATTTTGGACCCCCATTCCACTTATGTTGTTCCAGAACCGTCCTACATGAATTTCCTAACACATATTGCTTGCCCCACCACTTGTAGCATTTCATCCATAAACTAGAAGCCAAGTTACAATTCACAAGCAAGTGGTTGGGTGTTTCATTTGATAAATTACACCAGTAGCATCTTAGGTTGTTTTGATCAATCAATATTCCGTGAGTTGCTAAATTATCTTTTGTAGGAAGTTTTTTTGTGGAGCAATTGCCAACAGAAAGCATTTACTTTAGATGGAATGGAGGCCTTCCACATCCTTTTGAAGTCAACAATAGTGCTGGTGTCGCCCTTTAAAAGATGGGAGTAAGCCGACTTAGATGTGTAGTTTCCGGAGGGATTCGGTTGCCACCACCATTGGTCTTCTTTGCCTTGCATTAGATGAGTTGTCCTGAGCAACTCTAGAAGTTTTGTTTCCAAATCTACCTCCCATGAACGCAATTGGCGCTTCCATAATAATTTCCATTGCCAACTTCCATTTATCCAAGTACCCATGTCTTTCACGTTGTGATTTTCACCTGTGGATAACAGAAACAAGCGTGGAAATTTGTTAGATAATGCATTCCCTCCTACCCATTCATCCGACCAGAATTTTGTGTATTTGCCATCCCCTATTTTCACTTCAAATCCTGAGCTCAACCAGTTTTTCTTAGCCCCCACCCCTTCGTTTATTTTGCAAACGTCCCTCGACCAGCTTGAACCTCGACAACTACCCTCCTTTAGATAAGATAGCCAATTCCCTTCTTTATTCCCGTATTTTTCAAGTAAGACTCTTCTCCATAACCCCCTTTCTCCATGAGCAATCTTCCCCACCATTTTCCTAGCAATGACACATTAAAACATGACAGATTTTTGATACCCAAACCCCTTTCAAGCTTGTGTTTACATATATTCTCCCATGCTACCCACGCGACTTTTCTCCTTTCCCCGACTCCCCCCCATAAAAATCTTCTCCTAATTTTTTCTAACTCACCTATGACACTCTTTGGGAGGAGGTAGAAGGACATTATGAACACCGGTAGGCTGGTTAGCACAGCATTAATGAGAGTTATTCTTCCTCCTAGAGATAGGAAACGCCCTCTCCATGAAGCCAGTTTTCTTTTGAAGGTGTCGATAAGTGACTTCCATGTACCTATTCTTTTAGGGTCTGCTCTAAGCGGGATACCCAGATATTTACAAGGTAAGGATCCTTATTTGCAATTCAGTAGGCATGTCATTTCCTTTTCCCATAGATCATCGACATTGATTCCAATCAAGGAGCTTTTCCCATAGTTTATTTTCAACCCGGAGACTAATTCGAAGGCCCTCAAAATACATATGTTTTCCTCTGTTGCTTTCCCCATTAATAATGTGTCATCTGCAAACTACAAATGGGAAATTCTCAAATCCCCTCTTCCAATCTGGACCCCTTCGAAAAGTGCTTTATCAACTGCTGATGAGATGATCCCGTTGAGCCCTTCTGCAACAATAAGGAACAGGAAAGGAGCTAAGGGATCTCCTTGTCTTAATCCCCTGCACATAGTAAACTCTTTTGTTGGGCTACCATTGAGTAGAACAGATACCGAGTTTGTTTGCAGGCATTCTCACATCCATCCCTTCCATACCAAACCAAAATTCATCCTATCCAACATATAATCTAAGAATTCCCAGTTGACATTGTCGTAAGCCTTCTCAAAGTCGGCCTTGAATAGGAAACAACTCAATTTTTTCTTCCTGATTTCATCTATCGTCTCATTTGCGATGACTATTCCATCAAACAGTTGTCTCCCTCCAATGAATGCTGATTGTTGTTCACCTATGAGACCATTCAACACTTTACTCAATCTGTTGGCCAGGATTTTTGTAAGGATTTTGTACATGCAACCTATTAGAGAAATAGGCCTATACTTTTCCAGACCTTGCAGGTTCTCCTTTTTGGGTATCAATACCAGAAAAGATGAATTGGAGCCCCTTACCAGCTTGCTGTTATTATGGAAGTCCACTAAAAACTTCAGAATATCATCTTTAACCACTTCCAATTCTGCTTTCAAAAACCGAAAGCTCAGACCATTTGGACCTGGGGCTTTTGCACTGTCACAGTTCCATACCGCTGCTTTCACCTCTGATTCAAGAAACGGTTCAGTTAAAAGCTCCTTATCTGCTTCAGAAATTTTGTTAAATCCCATGCCCTCCAAGACTGGCCTTTTCCAATCTTCCTTTGCAAATAAATTCTTGAAGTAATCAGCCACTCCTTGTTTCAGCTCGTTGACTTCTTGCAACACCTTCCTGTTGACCACTAGGGAGTTAATTTCATTTCTTCTCCGTCTATTTTTGATGCACCGGTGGAAGAAGCTTGTATTAGCATCTCCTTCCTTCATCCACGTCATTCTTGATTTTTGTCTAGCCATTTCTTCTTTTGTTTGAATATTTTCCCATAGAGCATGAGATCCCTCTTAAGAATGTCTTCCTTCTCACTTAGCTGCTGGAGTTCCCCTTTACAATCGAGTTTGGCTATATTCTCTTTTGCTTCCTCAATTTGTTTGTCAATCACCTGTGCATGATTCCAGGTCCAGTCCTTCATACTATATTTCAATAGTTTAATCTTTTCTTTGAGCACAAAACCTCACCAACCTTGGATGTTAAAGCTTTTCCATTGTTTCTCTAACATTTCTCTAAATGCTGGATCTTGCAGCCACACATTGTAAAATTTGAAGGGTTTTGGGCCCCAATTACGTGTTTCATCCTTCACCAGAATTGGGTAATGATCTGACAGTAACCTCGCTAACCTCCATTGCTTCAAATCTGTCCAGTTGAGCAACCATTCCTCAGAAAATAAGAATCTATCCAAGCGGCTCATGCAGTTACCGTTCGACTGGTACCAAGTGAATTTTCTCCCTATTATAGGGAGGTCTACCAGCCCACTCATCTCAATAAACTTGTTAAATTCCTTCAACTCCCTCCTTACACTTATACCTCCTTTCCCCTCCTTTCCTGAAGATTTCTAATGGTATTAAAATCTCCAGCTATGCACCAGTTTCCTTTATTGGAACAGATTTTATTTGACAAATTCTCCCATAAAATTCTCTTGCTCGCCAAATCACATGGAGAATATACATTTACCAAATAGCAGGGGGTGTTTTCTACTCCCCATATCCCCACTACTCCCAGGAATCCTACTCCTTCTAAGCAACCAATCTTCTTGAAAACATTAGAATTCCAAATTATTAAAATTCCTCCAAATGCACCATTAGTAGGTTGAGCAACCTAATCAAAATTATCAGAATCCCAAACCATTCTACATAAACATTTGTCTACTTTCTCCATTTTAGTTTCTTGAATAAACAAAACATCTACTTTCTTTTTGGCAACCAAATCTCGAATCTCCCTTTTTTTACCAATCCCCCCTAATCCTCTAATATTAATAGACAATAAAATCATGGAAGGTAGATCATCACCTGGTCTCCTTTTCTGTGCTTCTTTTCTTCCTCTTTCTTCCATTTTTCTCTATCTCAGCGTTCCATCTCTTTCAGTTTCTGTATCACCGATGCCTCATCTCCTTGAGCAGTCACCCCAAATTCTTTCACCCGAGATCACAGAGCTTCCATGTTCCGTTTTCTACTGCTCACCTCGATGTTTTTGTTGCAGTTCTGGATGTTGCTGTCGTTAATCGAGTCATCTGCAACCGACTTCTCTGAGTCTTTCTCGAACATAACCTTCTTCTTTGTCTTGACAACTACTCTTCTCTGTCCTTTTAATTTTTGCTGAACCAGGAAGCCTTCCAATCCCCCGGATTTTCTGTACACCGATGCACAAGATTTTGCTCTTCTCTTCTTTTTTCTTTTCCCGCATCCATTTACCCTGCTCATCTAGTTAACGTCGGTGCCTGAATCACTTTCAAGGTCGTCCCAAAATGAAGAAGATGACTTCCTATTCTTTGCTATGGGTCTGTTATTGGACTTCTCAATCTGCTCCTCTGGGTTTGAATTTGTTGGCCCTTGTAATTCGGTTGGTTGGTGGTCCCTCAGCCCAATATTCTCTTCTGGACCCATTTCTTTTGTTGGTAGCCCATCTCTAACTTCTTTGGCATACTTTTCTGCTTCTCTGCGGCTCCTGTTGTCTTCTTCTGCTTTGTTTATACTTTTTTGATAAGACTTGCCGTGACTGCCCATGTCTGCGTTGGTGCTCAATTGACTGCCATTTTTGAACATCCGTTGCTCAGCTTTATTTATCACCAAATCTGGATCCGCCTTAATCTTTCTTGATTCTACCACTCTTTGAAAATTTGAATTTGAAACAAGGATCCCTGTCCTGATTTCCTCCATCCCTTCTGTTTCCTCAACTACCTCGGTATCTGTACTGGCTACGTCAACTGTCTTGACCTTCTTCCTTTTGTTACCTTCGACCTTGTCGCCGTGTCTGTCCATCTCAACACTATGTCTCGCCACCTCAGCACTGTGTCTCACCACCTTAGCATTATAGCTCACCACCTCATTCTTGTTACCATCCTCCGTGTATGGTGTTGCTGCATCTTCCTCCATGGAAGCCTGAGCCCCTTCGCTTTCAACCCCCACTATCTGAAGCTCAAATTGATTCCAGATGTTCTTGTCCAGGTCCGAGTCATCCTCGTTCTGACTATCTGAAGAGTTGTTTTCTTCATCTTCCTTTTCTCTAGTTGCATGAAAGTTTCTATCAAACCTCATGGTGAAGAGGTTATTTGTTGATTCCTCTTCTGTGAATTTAAGTGTGAAGAATTCGCCATTGATCTTCACTGTGATAGACTTGGATATAGATTCTGTGGATGGTGTGGTGATTAAGAATCTTGCTGCATCAAATCTTTTCTTGTTGATGGTGCTATCATCTAGAGATATTAAGGTTCCCCATAGTCTTCCAAATGTTTGAAAGGTCTCCAATTTCCAAGCGTGCATTGGGAGTCCCTGGCATCGGATCCAAGCGAACCTCTCCGTTGCTACCAGAGTGGGGGTCCACGGCTTCACATCTTCGAACCAGTTCCCCAACCAGTCTGTTCCAGTATCTACCAGCTCCTTCAGATCTTCATGATCCTTGCCTTCTAATAACACTAATCTACCTCCCATTGGTCTAATGTTGCAGAAGAATACCCCTTACATGAAGAATTTCTCTTGCAAATTGGGTATCAGGTTCACTGAATGCATTGTGCCTACAAAACATTTTTCCAGCCAAACATATTCTTCTAGATCGAAGTTCAACTCCATGCCTGACCAATGATGGTGTTGGTGTTTTGGCTTCCATTCCCTTTGCTGGTTTCCGTAGATGCTGTCATTGTTGCTTCCATATCTCTGTGCTATTCCTACTTTCCTTCTTTCATTGATGGGTCTTTCCTCCATCCTACTAGTGGTTGTTTTTACTACCTCAGCATATGATGGTCTTCTATCATTACCATTGATGCTTTGTTGTCTCCAGTTACCATCCTCGAAATGGGTTCTAGGAAACAGATTATTTTGTCGATCCCACTTCGTGTATCTTGGTTTGTTTGCTTGTAGGACCTGGTTTCCTACCCTTACTTCATTTAATCTTCTTTCTAGTTCACCTTCATTCCTCACATCTAGAAACCAAACAAAACCAAAAAGTCTTCCCATCCTATCTCTCTTCGCCGGACAATCGATCTCCAGCACCCTTCCGTGGCCTATTCTGTTGAAAGTGAGCCACATCTACTCAAACGACCATTCCTCTAGAAAGTTTGTGAAGAAGAAGGGAATTGCCTGATTGTAAACCCTCTTGTCATAACCTCCCACCTCCTGTTGGGTTCGTCCCCTATTGTGGAATCTGAGCCTCTCATTTGGCTATGTTGTCCGTCTACCATGTGTTCTCCATCCCAGAGCTCTCTCTCTCTCTACTTTAGATATTATTGTACGTACTTAATACCCTTTGCTTTTGATTTTTGAATAATTGTAGTTTGTAGGGTTCCCCAACTTGTTTTATGGCCTTAGGTATATAATTTAGCCAAAATTTCTTGACAAAATGGAATGAACTCGTGCATTTTTAGTTTGATTAAGGGAGAAGGGATTAATCTAATTAATTAACCTATTAATTTTGTTGGTAATTATAATTTATGTTATCTCATGACATTTGATAAGAATAAACTCAATTAATTATGCAATTAATCATATCTTGTTTGTGTTTGGAGCTTTGAAGGTGATTTTTACACATTTGATATGATTGGATTCTTTGGAACCTACGAGGCTAGCTGTTTATTCGGACATGCATTGTCCAAGCAAAACAGAAGATAACAAAAACAAATTAGTTCATGAATCCTTTATGTTTTTGTTAATAAGGGGGGATTTGCCTGGCAAATGGTCCTCACATGATTAGGCTTTTCACTTTCTTTTACTTTCTACACCTTTCTTTTTCTTTACTTTTAGGTGTTTTTTTGGCCTTTCACCACTTTAATACTAGACCACAACGTGCCTCGTCTTGAAAATTTTAACTTTATTCTACAGTTTTAAATTGATAATAATTGTATAAATCTCTACCTTTCATAAACTTGGGCTGAAAATTCCACATTTGAAGTAATCTACTTTAATAATTGTGGGTGTTTCATTATTGAACCCTTTCTCTCTCTATCTCTCTTTTTTTTCCTAGAAAATGATTTAGCAACAATTTTTGTGTACAAGTCTCTCATATAACTTTAAATATCATTTAATAATTAGTTTTTTTTTTACTTTATTAAAACTTGTGATTGTATACATCAATTTATTTAATAATATGCGAAAGTTATAAATAAAAATTGAAATTTTATAATCCATGTCTTTAGAATATAAATTAAAAGTGCATTTATTATACATTTTCACCATTAATTTATATATATAAAAAAGTAAAAATTGATTTTAATTTTATCAACTATCTAATTAAAATGTTTCACATAATATTAGTGTTAAAAATAAAGTTTACTTCCGTAATTTTTCATGTAAATTAATAGTGAAAAGGTAAAATAATTGTTGCTCCGCAAACATTCTTCATCATCTTCGCATTATGTCATTATTGTGCCTTAGTTATACAATCAAATAAAAATAATAATTAATGAACTTATTAAAAAATATCGATAAAAAAATATTATTGAAATAGGCATGAAATGCCGTTGAAAAAAAATCGAAATAGGCGTAAAAAACTTATTTGTTTTAAAGTGATTTACACTTCTGCAAAAAATAAATCCACCAATATAGTAGAAGTATAGATAGCACATCACCCTCAAAATTTTACAGTTTTATAATAACATTTTACAAA